AGGGGAGACTAAAAAAATGTTTCAGATTAAGTGATACCTGGTTGCAATGTAGTACCCAGGGGGTTTATTTTTATTCCCCCCAGCGATAAAAGTTACATTATTTGCAAGTCAAAAAGCTTCACGCCCTGTTTTATCTTCCTTTCCAACCTTTCTTGTATTACTGGTTGTTTTGTTTGCACTGCACAGAGCATTTAGAAGACGGACAAATAATAGCCACATTGTCCCGTGCATGTGCAGAAGAAAGAGAGCCTGTTTCCAAAGGGTGTCAACAAAACAGAGAAAACCGTGGCAGGCTGGATGACTTCAAAGTTTCCTCATGCCTTGAACAGAGATCTAGGGCCTGACCCTCCTCACCTGTCAAATCTGAGATGGGAAATGGACACTGTGGAAAGGCAGTGGTGGCTGCTGCTGCTAACTCCGTGTGTGGAGCCCCGTTGAGCAAGAGAGCAGCCACCGCAGGTGCCTCCGCAGCTCTCCCCAGTGACCACTGGCCTCGCAATTTAACTGCGCCCGGGATTTTGGGCTGTATTATATTGTCCATCCTTATGACAGCACTTGAGCAGTCTGTGCTCTGCCATCCTAGCCAAGGGAAACGACCCAGAATTTGGGCAATCCTGGGCGCTGCAGCGGCCAAGCATCCTTGGGCACAGCACCGAATCCCTGATGATCCTCTCTCCATGGGGAATTGCTCCCCACGCGCCAGCGCTAACCACTGCGGACACGGGTGCTGGCAGCAGGGAGCCCACAGGAGCGCTGTGGGTTATGAAGTTAACGGGGCTGCGTTTCCCTGCGTGGATAACCCGGCCCATTGCGACCCTGTCATGCGCGGCCGCGCTGTCCCGCACGGGCAACGCGGGCGGCCTCGGCTCCGCGCACACCAAGTGCCAGCTCGCCCGCCGGGCAGGAGGGAGCACAAACGTCAGCTTTTCTGTGAATACCGGGCCACGAAGGGCAACACAAAAACATCCCCACGTCTGGGCGTTATTCTTGAGCAACGCGTCCGCGCTGCGCAGCAGTCCGCGGCTGCGGAGGCTGTGAAAGGACGTTATGTTGAGGGGGGGTAACGCGCGGCGCCGACACGAGCCGCCTCTTTGTTCCCTCCCCGCGTGTGCGCGGCGCCGGCTGGGAGGGACCGCGGGCGCCCCGCGCCGCGCTC